AGGGCATCAGCAGGGATAGGGGGCTGCAGGTTGGGAGTAAGGGGCACCAGCCTAGCCCATGGGGGTGTGGGACTGTGGGTTGGGAGTGAGGGACACCAGCAGGGCCTGGGAGGATGGGGAACTGCTCCCCCCCACCCCCAACAGGTGTCCCTTTTTTGGTACTGGAAATAAGTAACCCTCAGAGCTGACCTGAGCAGGGTGTGGGGCCCGGGGCAAATCAGCCCATGCAGGGCCCCGCCCCTGCTCTGATCCCACATGCCCCTAGACCCAAAGAAGGTGCCACTGGCAGCGGTGGCGGGGCGGGGGACAGACAGCGGCTGGATGCAAAGCTGTTGGGGGCAGCATGGAGTCACTGCTCCGCCCAGCTCTGCAGTGCCCCCCAAAGTGTGGGGCCTGTGGCAGTCGCCTCAATTCGTGTCACACCCCCCCACCCCCAGGGATGGCCCTGGTAACCCTATTTAAGGTCATAGCTTTAAGTCATCAGTTGTTGCAAGTCCTAAACAAGGTGTTCCCAGACATTTGGTTCACTGAATTTTAAAAAGGAGAGAATCTTTGCTCTACTATTTTAAGTCTCAAGGATCTTTGTTTGCAATTTTGATGAGCTTTGTCTGGATCACTTGTAAGTTTTAAATTTTATGCTGCTTAATGAATTCAAACTGCAAAAAGAAAAAAGATTTACCTTTGACTTCAGCTTCCTCAGCAGAGTTCTGGATCTTCGTTTCTAAAGCTTTAAGTAAAATCAAGCTTAAGGCTCTGATGATTACTTGGTCAGGACCAGTGCAGACACCACCTTTAGGCTGAGTTTCACTGCCTCCAAAATAGCAGGCTTTTTCACTAACAGTTATTCGATTCATCCACCCCAAATCTACAGCTTCCAGTAGAGCAGCAGCCAATGTTACCATATCCATATCCAAATAAGGATCTTGTAGGGATGGTGTTAGCAACAATCCTTTTGTGAAATCTTCACCAGCTTTATAAAGAATACATTTCTTAACAAGCATAATGGACTTCTTCTTGATTAAATAATGAACTGATGAACTAGCAAGGTCCAGGATGTAAGTAGTTTTCAAAAATAAAATTCTTTGGCATCTGAAGTGCAACACTAGTTGGAATCTGCAGGCCACAAGAACTTCAAGCAAATCTATGAAAGCAATTAAGTTATTTGAGGGTTTAGAGTGTGCTGATGCATCTTGGTAGCTGTCAAAATGATGAAACAAAATGGAATCATGAAATCCTTCAAGTACAGCATCAAGAGGAGCGAAAAGCTTCTTCATTATATCTGTAATAACAATCACTATGTTAAAGAGGGTCTAAGTTGAGCTCCTGAAGTATAGTTCAATTATGCAGATGATTTAAAATATTTTTTTACCCCCTGAAGCGGCATCAGACCAGCTTTCAAATTCAATTTTTTTTTTTTTTTGGAGAGTGCTGCATTTTAGTTTTCTAACATTCATTTTTCCTGTGACAAAGAAAATAACCCGCTGCCATTAAAATATTCAGGCAGCCTTACTGCCCTGCTACAGACATGATATGTAGCCTTCCTCCCTCTACTGGACACTTACAATAATTATTTGATGCTATTAATATGCAGTACCTGCTTTGCACACATCTTCATCTTTCAAAACATCTCTAATAATTGCTGTAAGAGTCCATAGACATTCTGCTGCTTGAACACTCCTTGGGAATTCTGAGAGAGTCTTCAAACAAAATGCCAGCCAGGTGACATTTAATGAATTCTAAAAAACAAATAAGAAAAATCACTTTCATGAATTTATATTATAAATATATCTTTAGCTAAAGCTGTTGTACACTGTAAGCCAAGACATTCTACAACACTTAATTTTAAATTACAAAACATAAGAATACAGGGTAAGGTAAAAAGAAACAGAATACAGTCATGCAGAGAAAAAAGATGGAGGTATTACGTAGAGCGATGTTGTAGTCATGATGGCCCAGGAAATGTAAGAGGTGATGATTTTTTGGAATGATTTTTTATTGGCCCAACGGCATAGGGAGGAAAGATTTTAGACAAGTTTTCAGGCAAAAAGGTACCTTTCCTGAGGGCACCCAAGGAAAGGTACCATGTCCCTGAAAGCTTATCTTAAAAACCAAAAAACCACCCCAACAAACCCCTCTCTTCCCCACTATGTATTTGGTCCACTAAAAGATTACCCCAAAAATTCTTGCCCCTCACATTACCCATGGTCAGTAGCAGTTATATAAATTACTTGAAATGAACGTTTTAAAAAAATATATGAATGACTGCACCTATAAAGTAGTTAGTTACAGACATTTGATCAAAATACTTGCAACTAGGCTAAGGAGCAAGAAATTCTAGCAACCCCACAGTAGTTGGCTCCAGCATAGAACCCCTCTCTCTCCGTTTCATGCCCCTATTTTTCTCATTCTATCATCTTTTGCAGGAGTCTTTTCTTTTCCAGAACCTGATCAAATCTGGCCCCAACCTTACATTCAGCTCAATCCTGTTTTTCCTAAAACAAACCTCCTCCTTTCTGTTTATCCTGGTCCATTCTTGATGGGTTTTCCTAGATGTACTGAAGCCAAGTCGCAGGTTTCTTTCTATTGTTTCCTACCTCTCCTCTGCATTAGCTTATCTCTGTTCCTTTGCCTAAAGCTTAGTACCTTCCACCTAAAATTAACATTTTAATTGCACTCTCCCTCTCTCCCCACCTCCCACCCCCAACCATGGGCTCCTGAAGTTTTGAGCCAGGCTTTACATAAGAATATACTCAAACATACCATCATCTATAACAGTGGGAGGCCTCCCTTTTTGGGAGGCTTGCCACAAGCCCTGCCTGTGCTGAGTGCCATTCTCCATTTAGAGCTCTTAGCCCCCTAACAATGACTCAGTCTTAGCCATCTGCATTGATGGTTTAGGAACCCTAGATGCCTCACCAAGTCATTTTGAATTGTCTTCCTGGGGTAGGCACTCAGACATTAGAAAGCCTACATACCTAAATCAAGGTA